CTGCTCATCTCCACGCTGCCTGCTCAGCTGTGGTGTGCACCCTGCTCCATGTGCTGCAGGGTGCACAACTTAGCCAGAGAATCTTTTTCTACATCCAGACATATCAGCGTACAGTTTCATATATCAGATCGGCTGTAGGTATGGGAGCGTGTCTAGCCGCCAGTCTATCCGGTTCAGCTGTTCATTGTGGACCACACTTTGTTACATTTCACTGATATCTAAGAAAATAACTGAGCTACATACATGGTAATCCTCATTCAGCCTATGCTGACATTATTTTGCAAATTTAACCTCAGTATATAAAGAATTGGGAGACAGATATTGACTCATCACAGCTGAGGCTGCAGCTTGGATGTCATGATTCATCCGATTCACCAGGTTTGACAAGCTCGCCCGAAGGCCGTTTAAGCCCCACAAGTTCTATATACAGCTTACAACGCTGATGGCGGTAAACTTGAGCCACACTTTGACCTAAACAATGTGATACAGGCGTGTTCCTTCTTGTTCCAGGATGTGTTTCATTAACAAATACATGTGCAACTAGAGCACCAGCAGACATTGTAAGCACAAGTTAAATAAGCTTTTAAAAGAGCAAGGACCTGCCTGCTCGCCTGCTTGAGTCCTTACTCCACATCTCTTGGCTTTAAGCACTTTATGGAGCTAATTTCATTTCACGCATGCAGTCCTCACAGGAGAGACAATACTCTTCAGGGTCAGTAAGCACTGTGCCTCCTGAATGTGCTCGGGCTTTTTTTTTTTCTTTTTTTTTTTAATTGCATCCAAATTAAAATGAACATCATTATTTTTATGCTACACACTCTAATGCAATCAATAATCGAGAACGACACACATTGTTAGGCAGTTGGCTTGTATTGATCACTTCATGTGGATCCGGCCTAGAAAGTTATCCCAGCGCTACAGGCTCCACCGGATGGGGCTGACGTGGAAAAACAATCCAACCAAGCACACATCTCTATCAATAGCTGGGTGTAATTAAACAGTACTCCCTTTACACAAACTGCCAGGCCAGCAGGTCAGTTTGTTCAATGTGGTCTCACTTAGTTCAGGATGTTAGACAGCTGCGTTGCTGCCAACGCCGGCCTGTTTCGCTGCATTCTCAGCATTTTTCTCATTAATCAATCAATCCTCTAAATTTCGTATTCCAAATGAGACATTTTGGAAACTTCCACTGGGCTCTGAGCCCCCATTCCTGGATACCTTCCTAATTTAAGAAATGCGAGGAGTGCAATATCCTCTCTTTATTTCTGGATCCTCTCGTTTTCTTCGCAGACATGTGTTGCATCAATAAGTGGTAGGAGTGGCCGGGAGTGTGTCCTTAATCTCTTTATCCCTGCAAGTCAGCTCTGCTTACAGCCTAACACAGAGATCTTTTCAAGCATCTGCCAAAAAAGTTAATCACCTTCTCCCATTCATTTGCCACTTTACTACAACATCATCATCACCATTATTACTAACATCATTCATACACTCACCTATTCTTTGTCATGTGACTTTGTGGGAATTTACAGAGAATTTTCAGGTATGTTTTGCGACACTTCACTGTACCTACAGAGTCACATCTGAATGACAACATGGCATGTTACTATGGATGTAATCCAGGATGCATTCCACCCTCAACTGATACTACTCTGCCCAGCCTGCTACTGTGCCACTGTACAAAGCAGTATCATGAACTGACATACCCATGGCTGTAAACATAACATTTTGAGTCTAAGGAAGAAAAACACAAGTGTATTTATCACTCATCACTGCGATTAATACACCTAAAGGAGTCTTCAAGTGGTAATTTTATCCACTGGCTAGCCAGTGTACATGCCTTACTGTGATTCTCCATGGCGGTTGCAATGTTTGTTTCCTTAATTTCTAACAATCTCAACAGTAAATAGTTTAATGTTTCCATACGCTACACCCATATTTTCAGCAACGCGTCCACGCGTGTAAACGCAACCGAAGAGAAAAAAATGCATTACACGGCACGACATTAAAAATAGTCAGCTACTGTAGCGTACTTAATTTCCCCATAACTGGGAAAAACACAGTCACCATCACCGAAATCACTCCCACCATCTCGCCTGAGCCCACAGTCCAGGCTCCAAAAGCGGGGGAGGCTTAGCTACATACATACCCACACATAGACAGCAGCTAACACACACTTTTACTAATCACAGCCAAGTGTGCCCGTAGCTGCACTTGCAATGTTTACTGCTCCTAGAAAACAGAGAGGGGAAAAAACAAGGAGCTCCGGATAGCATTTGCTTACCGAAAACACGTCAACGTCCGTGGCAGCCATGGTGCGGAATGTATGGTGTTGGTGTGCTGAAGCAGACCGAGCAGAGGCGAAAGGGAGCAGCCCTTGTGTCTCCGTACTAGCCTGCTAAACTACTGACTGAGCTGAGCTGACAGTGATAGGAAGAGAGGGACACAAGGCGGAGAGGAGCTGCTGAACTGGGCAGGGAGGGCGCTAAGCTAGGTGACGAGAGGACTCCCTGCTACTTCGATTCTGCTTCGCTCAGACACGCTACAGTTTTTCATTTGCTTTTAAAACGGTACTAGTGTAAAAGAACAACAGTTATTTTTTTTATTTTTTATAAACTGATTATATATAAGGGAAAGGGTGAGAGAGTCGGTACTTAACGGCTGTTTGACGGAGCACTGTTTGCGCATGCGTACGCACATTCCACATTTTTATACATTTTTGCTGTTTTCACATGAAGAAAGCTATTTTTAAGTAGCTTTTCATTATATTGATTATCAAAGTGAACTACAAAAGATGGTTGCTATGTAGTTTTTATTAAGCACTAAAGAGTTTCCAGGCGATATAAGAATAAATATTTATACCTAAGTTAAAGTCGAGCGTGAACTATCCCAAGTATAGTTGACATCTTTGGTTGTGACATATACTTTTTCAATATGGCCAGCTTTCTCAATCGCTGCAGGAATGTCATGTTGCACACTCTGCAAGCCAGGACAGGAGCGAGCAGCAGAGATATGTGTCAGTCAGAGATGGATATCATTTAAAAAAAATACCTAATCATTTGGATGCCAGTCAAAACATGGCATTCATATTAAAATTAAGCTAATTAGGTCAGAGATTGAGTTTACTAGAATGCAGATCAGCCAATCAGAGAGTTGGAGCAATCCGTCACGTGATGTCGCGATTTTCAATATTTTTCTGTTATCTGTCACGCAAAAAAAATAGAATTTGTATCTTGTATGTGTGTATACCAAACTGGCTTTATTCCAGATAAATGAATGGTATTACTATCATGAGTAAGAGCAGTGGTTAAGTTATAAGATACCGTTGCAATAATTAGGATTTCCAAAGAACTAAGTGGCAAACCTCCAGTACTCAAAAGTCAAGCTCGCACATGCCACAAACTGCAGTTCTTCTAATGTCCACTTGCAGCCTGCTCGATGAGTAAGTCAGTCTGTATTAATTAAATGTTGATGTTAAAGTGCCCAACTTTATCAGGAGAAATAGAAGGAAGGTCGGAAAGAGTTGCACTGCGTCTTTGAGGATCTCAAGAGCACATACTGGAAGAATTAAAAGAAGTTAAAGTGACTAAGTGGCATTTTAAAAGGCTGGTACAAAAAGGCTTTTGGCCTCTATGGATAGTGCCCCCCTTCATTGGGGAGATGCATAACTCATCCATGTGGATACTGGAGTTGGGTGTGTGGCTGTCTGATTGACAGGCACAGTCTGCCGTGATAGTGATGTGTTGTATGGCCATGTTGGTGGTGTTCCTGCATCATTATAATAATGTTGGTCCACAATGCTGATGTGATGTCATAGCTTGATGACTGTGATGAGAAAGGACAAAAAAATCCATTTGTTTATATAAAAATCTCTTCTGAAACAAATGTTAAGCATTTCAAGTGTTTTCCTTATTAATTAATGCAATTAAATAATAAAGTTAGGTTTGCTGTTAGCCACATTTAGGTTCCTCATCCTGGTTTGCTTGGGATAGTTTTTCATTGCTTTAGTTAACTTCTTGGTTAATGCTAACTGAATGCTCACACAACATGACTGACCAGTTGTAATGTTTATTCTGGAACAACATTATGATGAAGATATAAGATATATAAGATAGGAACAAAACTAACCTGGCGATATCAAATCGTATGTGGTGAAATTATCTGACAAATACTATGGCTCGCTGCGAGGTACAGACTATCAAAGAAGTCTTTGGTTCAGTTTTGTGGAGTAAAATTGCAGCAATTTATTAGCCCAATGCAGTCAACAAGATAGGATGGCCACAACAGCCACAACAATGATGCTTCCAATCAGATGGGTGAGGTCACGTTGCTATGTCCATCTTTTATTTACAGTCAGTGATGGTAACAGATTATATAACCTATATGACATTTTCAAAATACAAAAAAGAAATAATGAGCCCACATTTCATTATAAAATATATGTAACTAGATTGTAACCACAATGATTTATTAATTTATTTATTTATTATTTTTAATCTTTAAATTCCATTGTCACCATTGTTTACAACAACTTATTTTGTTTGTTTGCTTTTCTTGAAAAGGGGGAAATTACTTTTTTTAATGTGGCTGCATTAGTTTGTATATTATTATTATTTATTTATTTATTTATTACTTTATTATCATTATTATGATTAATATTATTTAAAGTGTAATATTTTCAGTGTTGAAGTATAACCCTTGCATATAAAGTATAATCCTTATTACAAACATTTCATGTTTGTGAGTACAGTACCTACATTTCAACACCTCATGTGAGCCTAATCCAACATTTTTAGCCTAATTACCAAATATTTTCTCCTTATCATTTATATGTACTTGTAGCCTACGAATAGGAACAAAGTGATGCTTTTTGTTTTATTTTACTGAGGTCTACTTTGTTGATTTACCGAAATTTTTGAGCATAAGAATGTTGAACTACTTTGCTCATAGTAAAATATGTACATACATTATTCAAATTGTCCACGTCCTCACTTTCCCCGGAAAGAGCCTCCTCCAGGTGTGGGGAGGAGAGGGAGCGTCCAGGTAAAGCGGTCTGTACCGTCACACGGATAAAGGTGTAACACACCGCGCAGCTGTAAGGAGCTTTCGCTTTTTTCTTTTACAGCTTTAATAATGATTTTGACACAAGAATCCATCCTGTCTTTGCTGGTAGCGGAGGGTGGAAGAGTGAAGAAATCCGACCTGGTTGATAAGTTCAGAGAGTCGGTGGACACCGCGGATCCCGAAGAAAGAGAACGGAATAGGGAGCTTTTCAAGACTTTTGTCAACAATGTAGCGTTTGTGAAAGAAATCGACGGCGAACGGTATGTTGTCCTGCGGAAAACCTATCAGCATTTGTTGGAAGGTCCAAAGATCCATGTGGAAAAGCCTGAAAATGAAAAGATCCCGCTGACAGGTGAGCAGCAGCGCCCACCTGCGCAGGCTGGAAGCTCTGAGGATCAGGGAGGTGTTCAATCAGCTGTTACTGAACCTGATCAGGAAGAGGCAAGTGAAAGTAGTGACCATCCCACAGAACTGCTTTCTCCCATACAGATGGCACTGCAAAGGAGTAAATTTGCAAGTGTACGACTTAAAAGGTCGCTGAATGTTGATGTCCAGCTGCAGGATAGAAAGGGAATTAACTGCTCAAATGCGCCTGTAAAGACCAAGCCATATGCCTTGCCTCTGAGGATGCCCCCCAGCGCCACTAAAGTGGAGATCCACAAACTTAAGCCTGACCCAGATGAACCCGAAGAACAACTAAAAACAGATGCTTTCAGGGACAAGAGAAACAAACTTAAGCCTGACCCAGATGAACCCGAAGAACACCCAAAAACGGATGCTTTCAGGGACAAGAGAAGGATGCCTTCGGCGGAGAGCAGCACCGGCTCACCCCAACTAAGGAGGGCAGCGAAGAGCACCAAGGCATCAGAGGAGCACAAAGACACCAGGATTCCCTCTATGTTTCCCCTGGAGCACTCAGAGCATCAGTGGCTCGTCAATTGTGCCGCCGGCCACTGGAGCCAGGCTTATGGCCTGCTGCTCAGAGACAACCAGCTGGCCGAGAAGAAGGACTTCATGTCAGGGTTCACTGCTCTGCACTGGGCAGCCAAAACTGGGAACAGCGACATGCTTGTGAAGATTATCGAAAAAGCCAGGCAAGGAGGGGTTCACGTTGACATCAATGCAAAAACACACGGGGGATACACTCCTTTGCACATTGCTGCATTGCATGACAAGCAATATATCATTGGCATACTGGTGAAGGAGTACGAAGCCAACATAAGCATCAGGGACAACTATGGCAAGAAGGCCTACCACTATCTCCACAAAGACGTTTCTGAGTCTGTGAGAGAGATGCTTTGTAAGCCCAAACCCCAGCCGGCAGAGGACAGGGCCCTGCATGAGAAAGAGGAGCTGGATTTGTTCCCGGATCTCTCCAAGGGCCTGCATTCAATAAGCCGCCTCTTTCAACCAAACGTGACAGGCCACAAAAAGAAGCACAAGCAGCGGCCGGGCCTGTACTCCCTGAACAACGACCCCATCGAAGAGGGAGAAGACAGCGGCACCAGCTTCAGGCACAGGCCCATGTCAGATGTTTTTATGTGAAAGCAAAGCTCTTCCCTGACGGAAAACACACCAATGACCTTAAAAGGATTTGGTTAATGCTCTCTTTTTTTATTTTTAGCCTACTTTCTGCAGTTATTATTGGAGATAATGATACAAAAAACATGTGGAGGGATTCTATAGAAACACAATTTAAGTGGTTAAGATCAAAGAGAAAAGATTTAAAAAACCTCGAGGTCAGCAGACGCTGTGTGTGACGTTACCTGCATGAGGTGAATGTCAGACAATGGTGGCTCCTGTGAGTCGTCTTATTACTCACACAAGTGTGGGCTTTTGTAGGTGTGGCCCCTTTAGTCTGTCTGTTTTCAATTGAACTGAGCTTTAAAGTTGTACAGAGAATTTTCTACTGAGTCATTTCAATTAAGACCAAAGCATCATCACCTGAGAGGAATCTGTGTGTTCAGCAAACTGGTAATAAGGACTAATGTATAATATCACAGCATTACAGTCACAGAAGTTAGCATGTGGAACAATTGTACAGACAAAGTGGAAAAAAATAGTACATCACTACATAACTTCACAGACCAGCTGAAAAACAACAAACTGAATGAATATAGGAAATGTTCCTCTCGGTGATTGAGTTGTTTCATTGTGTTCTTATGAAGCCTTGTCTTCATTTTTGTTGTTTAAGGTGAGAATAACCCTCTTTTTTTGTAAAAAAGGAGTAGGTCTCAATAAGTGTTTAACTTCTAAATACACCCGTTGAGGTGTAGTATGTATATAGTATGTAAAATTTAAGATGATTTCATATTGTGTTTATATATCATACATGGAGTGTTAGGATGGTTTCCTTGTTTTTTCTTCTGTTTATGTTTTTTATATGAATACTATAGCCAGAATTAACCCCTGGAGGGTCCTAGAAAAATGCATACACTATCGGACCTAGAGCCACAAATCGACCCAAGACCCTCCAGGGAAAATAAATGTAGTGGTTTAGACCAGTTTTCCAGTTCATGCCATTAAAAAAATTAAGGTGTCTGTTTATGTAATCGAGCTTCCATGTCCGATAAGTCGTGCCATGAATTCTCTTCCACTGTGATGTCGAACGGGCTGTTTTTCTTTTAACCACAGACTTTAATCTGGTTGATCTTTTTTTGTTTTTGTCAAAGTACCCATTCTTATTCTTCTTTTGATTTCAAGCTAAAGCGTACATACTGACAGGAAGTGAATGCAGAATAAAGACATTCTGTTACTCATTTACTGAGATCAAGACTTGACTTGCTCTGTGTTTTCATTTATGAGCAAGAAATGCAGTGCAGTGATCTCACAAAGCAGGCATGCGCAAACAGGGAAAAAAACGAGGAGGTGTTAATTTATAGGGGAATTAAACTTCCAGTAGAGAAAAATATAATTGTTTTGGAAAGAAGAGACTTAAATATTTGTGCCTCTGAGGGCAGGTTTAGAAGACTAAGCTATTCACTGCTTCACTTTAAAATAGATTAATTATTAAAGGCTGTAAAGCATTAAAAAATTCCCCCGAAGGAAGCCGACTCTGGATTTCACTGTAACATAATCAAATTTACAACAAAAAAAAAAAGGGGGGGGGGGGGGGGTACAACTTGTATCATTCATTAAGGCCACACAGGTGCTCCATAAATCATTAATGCCCCTGTATTTGCCAAGTAATTCTCCAGGCTTGGCTACATCTCCTGACTTGTCGAGACAGCTGTGATTAAGCCAGGTAAGCATCTGGCATTGAATGTGCGTGGCTGAAAGATCAGAACGAGCTTTGCATACACTTAACTCAGTGTGTGCTGAAAACTGGAGGTAAACGAGAGGCAGGAGAGAGCGGTAAGAAATAGCAACATTTAGAAATAGTAGGCCAGCTCACTATCCCGCCGTTCGCCTGCCCTTGACTCGTCTCCCTCTGCTTCTTGCGTGTCTCGTTATGTCACTTTCCCAGAAGCGTACATTGTTTGTACGTCAAGATGATGTTTCATCTCAGAGCCTCTGGGCTTTATTAAGCAAATGTTCTTTTCTGTGGCTGCTGCGGGGAGGAAACCCAACACGGGTTCAGAGAGCTAGGAGAGTCAGCACATAGAGCTGATGTCAAACTGTTAATGCACATAAACATATGAGTGTTTAAGGATTAAACTGTACCATAGAGAGCAATCAGAGCAATCCATAATTAAACGTTGTCCTAGTAATGTTATACTGCCTAAAAGTGCACTACTGTAGCAAACCATAAAGGAAAAAAAAGCACTATCTGACAGCAAATTCGTAACGGAAATCCTGTTCAAATCCTTGTTAACTTTTTACATGTTTTTAATGTAAACAAGCATTAACACAAATGTCTAATTAGCCAATCATTTGGCTGCAACTCAGTGTTTTTAGGCATGTAGACACGGTTCAAGAGGACCTGCCAAGGTTCAAACGGAGCATCAGAATGGAGTAGAAAGGTGATTTATGCGAGTGACTTTGAACAAAGCGTGGTTATGGATGTTTCAAGTATTAAAAAAAACTCCTGATCTTCTGGTATTTTAGCCACACTACCATGTTTATGGAGAATGGCAATGGAAAAAAAGAGAAAACATCCAGTGAGCAGCAGTTCTCTGGGTGAAAATATCTCACTGATGCCAGAAGTCAGAGGGGAATGGCCAGACTGCTTCAAGCTGATGAGAAGGAAACAGTAACTGAAATGACCACTCTTAAGAACCAAAGTATGCAGGAGAGCATCTCTGAAAGCACGACATGTCAAACATCAAAGCAGAAGAGCACACTGTGTGACGCTTTTTCAGATAAGAACAGGAAACTTATCTACAATGCGTGTGGGCTCACCAAAACTGGATAATAAGATCAGTGTAAACAGCATGAAAGCATGGATCCATCCTGCCTTGTATCAGCAGTTGAGGCTGCTGGTGGTAATGATGTAATGGTGCAGGAGATATTTTCTTGGCACACTTTGGGCCTCTTAGAAACTACCACATTTCTTTAAGTTAGCTTTAATAGGTTATCAATGTGTTATTAAATGGAAACAGGCCACTTTGCAGCTCTGTTTCCTGCTTATTACATAGAAACTACCAGGTATTCCCAGGTAATAATCACACTTCTTTAAGTGTGCTTTAATAGGTTATTCACCCTACCTTATATTGTAAGGTAGACTCTATAATAATATGACAGCGAAAACAATCATATGACCCCCTATGAGCAAATGGTTTGGCGACAGTGGGAAGGAAAAACGAACTTTTAACAGGAAGAAACCTCCAGCAGAACCAGGCTGAGGGAGGGGCGGCCATCAGCTGTGGCTGATGCGGGATAGTGCACCATGTCAAAAAATTCAAATAATCTCAAACTGGTTTGATGAACATGACAACGACTTGACTGTACTGGTGTCCACTCACTAGATTTCAATCCAACAGAGCACCTGTGAGGTGTGGCAGATCAGGAAATTCACATCATAGATGTGCAGCTGTTAAATCTGCAGTAAGTGTGTGATGCTATTGTGTCAACATAAACTAAAATCTGTGAGCAATGTTTCCAGCACCTTGTTGAATCTGTGCCATGGAGACCAAGGCAGCTCTAAAGGCAAATAGGGAGTCCAGCCTAGTTCTAGTAGGTGTATTGCACACAACCCACATTTCTAATGTCTGTAATTTTAGCAGTAAATTTAATAAAACAACACAATTCAGTCTGTCAGTCTGCCCCAGGGCAGCTGTGGCTACAACTGTAGCTTGCCTCCATCAGTGTGTGAATGTGAGAGTGAATGAATACTGGAATTGTACAGCGCTTTGAAGTTCTCAAAAAGCGCTATATAAATGCAATCCATCATTATTATTATTATTACAAATGACACCTGCCAACACCCCCCTTAGTCACATAAAGTGCACATTTATTTCTCTGCATTATGTAATGATTCCTAACAATGTAAGGCAGTGCACCACGGCAGTCTTGCAATATTTATTATGGCCCATAATGTTTGACTTTTTTCATTGCATTGTTGGAAATGTGTAAATCCTGGTAAAATCATAGTTATGTAACATTATGCTGAGAGCTGTCTGTAAGGTGCTCTGTAGATCGAACCACCTCTCAGCAGTCCAGTAATACTGACCTCAATGCTAAAACATATAAATGAATGAACACCTCTGTGACGGTGTCAACGTAATGTATTTATAGATATCATTAAAGCATTTATGGCGGACCAGGTGTACCTAATAAAGTGGATAATGAGTATATTGAGAAAGGCCTGGCATTCATATTGTACACTGTTCAGCAGGAATATATAGTGGCAATAAATCATAGCCATATACCATTTTACCGCAGCCTAGTTAGACTGAGACCAAGCCTTTGTTAGTTTTCATAACCGAGGTGAGTAATGACTGCCAGAAGGTGGAGGCCAACACAAGGTGTGCTGACATTCCTAAGGGCAGAGGGTTCAGAGTTCAGGTTGAAAAGTAAGCTTTAAAACCACTAATCTGAGCTCCTGGCAGAGACATCACTGAGTCACCCACTTTGATAAAGAATCCTCCTCACCTCCTGCAGGCACTGTGTCTTCTGGTCATTTTAACACAGTTATATGGTTACATAAAGGGGGGGTTGTGGAATATATGCTTGAGTTTTCTGTTTCCCCACATTGCCGTGGATACAGTCGGTGATTATCAGCAGCAAAGCTCTTCATTATCTGGCGCTGTGACAGAACTGCTGCTGCAGCTGTGCTTCGCCATGCTATATCCTCCCGTTTGCTGTCTGGAGTATATCTTTATACTGTCTCTGTAATGATGCTAAACCAAATTGCCATGCAATCAGTGTCTTGGAAACAAGATCTCGCTTGTTTAGGATGCTCAGAGTTGAGTTGTATGACACCGCTGCTTCTCTGGGAATCTGTTTTGTTTTGTTTTTGTTGGTTTGCAAAGTACTCCAAGTGCTGCGTGGCGTCTCTTCTCGTCCACCTGGGGATTTCTCTGCCACTTTCCAAAACAAAACCAACCATTTCTTTGCTCATTTCATTTTGTGTCTCTTAATAAGCATGTGCTGACATCCTCGAAGGCATCCCACTGACTAAACAAATGGGAGCAGCGAGGCCTGAAAGACACGAGAGGCGGACGACAGCATCAGTTAGTGTTACTTTGAGACCACACAGTCTTTTTTCCATCAGTTAAATAGGATAATATTTCTGTTAATCTTCCTATTGATTTTGGTCCAGACTTTCATGTCATTTGGTATACCTTATATCTGTTTGTTAACACGATTATATAATCAAAGTGAGATACACGACACAACCTCAGTGCATTTAGATATGATCAAGCAGACCAGCTGAAGTTCAAACTGAGCATCAGAATGACGAAGAAAGGTGATATAAGTGATTTAGGTGATTTAACAGAAAATACTGGATATTTTCGTTCCCTAGGTGAAAATATCTTGTTGATGCCATAGTTTAGAGAATGGCCTTCGAGCTGATAGGAAGGCAGTTATGGAGAAGAGCATCTCTGAATGCACAGTATGTCCAGCCTTGAAGCAACTGCATTATAGCAGAAGAAGGTCACACCAGTTGCCACTGTTATCAGCTAAAAACAAACACTGAGGCTTCAAATCCCAGCCTCACTGGAAAAATGCCACGTGGTCCGATGAGCATCAATTTCATTCAGATAGTGTAATCAGAAGTTGGTGTAAAGGCCATAAAAGCATGAATAAATCCTGCTTTGTATCAAAGGTTCAGGCTGCTAGTGGTGGTTTAAAGGTGTGGGGGATATTTTTGGCACAGTATTATAGCTGACCATGCTGAAATTGTTCCACAAAGAATTAAAGCAGTTCTGAAAGGCAACAGGGGGCCAACCTGCTACTAACAACAAATAAAGTGTCGAGTGTAGTCCACATTAATAAAAAAATGTATTTTAAAAAATATTTAGTTTACATGCATAGATGATGTAAGTATTATCTCCACAATGTCATTTTTTAATTTAAAAAAATGCAGATTAAGAACAAAACAGGCTCACAGGAAGTTCTCTGCTAGGAAAATTTGGACTTTCAGAAACAATGTGTTGATCTGCCTGTAGAGGGCAGAGGCGAGCTCTGATTTGAAAGCCCAAACAGGATCTCCCATTTGTGAAATAATGAGATAAAATGTTATGTCTGTACTGGTCTCCCACAGTGAATCCTGCAATGGTAGCACCAACTTTAAATCCTAGACAAATATGCCATTATTTGCTTTGAGGGGAAAAAAAACAAAGGAGGAATGAGTGTGAGCTTAATTTATTCACAATATTACAAACATGATGGAATTTGGAACTCCAAACAGGCACAAAACAACAACTCTTGACAGAAAACAGGTGTGAGACATGCCAGAAGAGGTGGGTTTACAAATGTCTGCTGCTGGCAGTCGAGACTCACTGAAATGTCTTTGCTTCTCTTGGCTTTAACACAAATTCTCCATGTATCAGTGTCACAAATCTGCAGTTTTTGGATCAAACCCGCCTTTTCCTTCAGCTAAACACAGCTGTGATTGAAAGAGAGAAACAAGCAGTGACTCAGGAAACCGCGCACACGTACAGTAGCAAAAACCAACATTTATCCGCGTGCAGCCAAGGGTCTTCTGTTTCTCCAAAAATGCCGGTCTTTTGGATTCTTTAGGAATTCCAGCAGGCTGAACGGAACGGCATTCAGCCTCTCTAACACTCCAGCCTTGCGTCAGCACAAAGGCCAAAACAAGCATACGTTTGTTTAGCAAACTGAAGCGGTCAGAGTCATAAATCTCCAGAGAAATGTTTCAGGGGTGGTGGCCAAGGTGGAAAAACTGTTTACCACAAAAACATGGAAATATTTATCCAAGGTAAAAGGGCACGTAGTTACTAAGAAAAACTGATTTATTGTTAATCACAATTTATTTACTTTTTTAAATTTTTGAGACTGCTACTGCGTCTTTGTGGTCGTTATTCCATAAATATAACATACATAACCCACAAGCAATACAGTGTGGATACATATATATATATATATATATATATATATATATATATATGGTGGTCCCCGTGGTAATCGGAGCACTAGGTGCGGTGACTCCCAAGCTAGGCGAGTGGCTCCAGCAGATCCCGGGAATAACATCGGAGATCTCTGTCCAGAAGAGCGCAGTCCTGGAACAGCTAAGATACTGCGCAGGACCCTCAAGCTCCCAGGCCTCTGGTAGAGGACCCGAGCTATAATATAATATATATGTATATATATATATATATACAACCTGCTGCTATATATATATTAGCCAGCAGGTGTAGATTCCTGAGAGACGATGACATTTCAATCACCTTCACAGGAGTTTTGCTGAAAGTTAACACGGCAAATACCAAAAGGAGTTCTGTCTTTCTGTTCAACCACACACACACACACCACAAGCACGCGCACACACAATGACGAACAGCAACATTAAACAGCTCTCAAAAGTGTTGGACTGAAGGTTCTGTGAGAACAGAAATGTATAAAACTATGAAAACTAGCTGACAGATTTTAATGGGGAAACAGTGGTGCAGTTAAAGGTGAGTGGATGTGCGGGTAAAGTGTGTTTGTACTTTCAGAAACAGCCTTTAACTTAAGAGAAGTGTGTAAAATGAAACAAGCATCACGTGTTTCTAGAGGGGGCTACTCTGTGGAGGTAGAGAACAGGAAACCAGTCTAAGACGCCTGAATTGAAGATTGCGAATTTTTCTCATTAAAAAACTTAAAACAAAAGGCATTTCAAGTATCAAGAATCGGCTATGCGACAAAAGGACATTGGGGAACAAAGTACTCAGTGATATAATTGTTGCTTATGTGTAATCTGCTTTTATGAGGCTTAGCACCTCCGTATGAAGAACTATTCCAGTATAAATCATCAAGGCTTTAATGAAATTAACTGGAAAAAAATTTGTACACAATTTTTCATGCTGATTGATGCGCTCGTGTACCTTTTAAAAAAGATCACCTCAACATTCCTATTTAAAACGAACCTGAAACAGGAAGAAATATTGTTTAAATGGATGGAGTAAGGCTTCCACTTGAAATGATCTTGAATCTGATTTGAAGAAATGTGCATTTAGGTTGTTTTTTTTACAAAGTGCTTTTTTCCATTCACCTATTTTTTTTTTGGTTTTTAGTGCCTTCATTTGAAACACATTTAAAAATAAGAACATTAAAAAAAGATTAAATCTTCTACATCTATTGTACATTTTTACTGATATGATACAGTACATCGCTCTCTTTCAGACTGCTTTCTTTCACTGGCGTCCTCCCGCTGCTCAAATACAATCTTAAAGCTTATAGTAGGTTTCCACAGGTGCAGATACAGGGCTGAAGCACTAATGAAAAGTGAAGGGAGGGTTTCTGCATTGCTAAAAAAGTGTCCCCACAGCAGCTCTAATGGAAAATGTTCCACAGCTTCAGCTATCATCAAGGCACACAGAAAACCCCCCAAACAAAAACAGTTCACTCCTGTTCGAAGTAAAAGATGTACCGTAGTGGGACAAGCCTGGAAACAGTGGTGGGCGGAGTCAGTGAGCATTTATGAGTCTCAGCAGATGACAGGAAGGTAAGCAACTTCAGTCATTACTGCTCACCTCATGCACTGCCTATATAAACAAATAGAAGAGGGGTATCGTGGGTCTTGGTGTAACTCTGCTAAACTCTTTTCAATGACCAAAACAGTCATGACAGAGTGCAAAGGGTTGCAGAGACCAGCTGGGCCTCTACAAAGCCAACATGTCTCTACATGTCTCATTCTGAAGAAGCCATCCTCATTTTAGGTAAGCGAAGCAAATCCAAAATTTCCCCCTCACAGATCCAGGCTGCCGGTAAGGGCCTCCAGCTGCTCCTCTCCCAGCCTCTGCTTCTCCTCCAGGTCCTTTTGCCGGATGAGCAGCGACGCCTTGGTCTGGACGAAGCGCCGGTAGTCCTGTAGCTGTTCGGCGGACAGCTGGCGTGACAGGAAGGTGGAGACGAGGTTTTCTCTGCGATCCAAGTTATCCTTCAGATCTTTGGCATCCTCCCTCTGTTTGCATAGCAGACGATGGCGACTGTCCAGAGATTGCTGCATGGAAACGCAAAGAGAAAAAATGATCAATTCTAAGTGACAGAGTTATAAGGCTACATTTCCTCTCTATTAGACACATGTTGATAACCAAAATAAATCCCTAAAACAATCATGTGACATTTTGTCTCATATTTTGGGGTGTTTTTATAAGTGACAGGAAATAAAGAGGAGTGAAAGTTGCACGATTATGTTTCAAACAGCTACAGGACAGAGGGTGCAGTGTTTCCTTGTGTCAACAGAGGGCAGGGTAGTTACAAATGTCATCGAAACTGGGTTGGAGTTTCGATGAGTCAGTGTAAATACCAGTGTTGCTGATAACAGCGAGAAAACAAATGAGCCCTCTAACAAGCCCTCAGTATGCAGCACGCTCAGCGCTGCTATTACAGAGCACAGGGCTAACAAAGAGTCTTTTCAGGGGAAAATCTGGAGGTCTAATGCATCCATGCAAACATACAAAAAATTATGCTGGAAACACTGAAACAGGTTATTCAGAAAGCGCAAGAAAGCACAGCCAGAACTCGTGTTACGCCTGTGACGTGGCCACTGGATTAATGATTAATTAAGAGAGCGCGGAAATTATTTAGGAGAAGAAATTAGCAACATGAAAACTCTTTTAAGTGAAGCCCCTATCGATTAATCAAATTAATCTTCAAACATTTGATAAGCTGAAAAGTGTCAATTAAGCCCAGATAAACCCAGCAGCATTTTTTAAATTCCACAAAGTGAGAAACCTTGACTCCATTACAGCTGCCCTTCAACTTTCCCCCAAGTGGCGTGTTTGCTGTTCTAAAGTAAACAGAATAAGAGTATAGCTGAGGGCATGGGAGCAGCTGCACACTTCTAACACTTGCTCTCCGTGGTCTTTTTGCCAGGAGCTCCTAATGAGCCACAGTGTATATTGAGATCCTTAAGCTTAGTGACGTAGCATTTCTCCCAGGAGCACTCGCTGACAGTATGCTTTTACTCACATGATTTAGTGTTTATGTGTAAACAGCATCAGCGTGTGAATGGCATCAAAATACATTGAGCACATGCTGGTGTATTTGAGAGAGTTCATTAAAAAATTATTATCAGATCATTTGATCTAAAATGCTTTTAATTTTTATTAAATTATATGTGTTATGTAATGTGACTGACTGTTATGTGTTCATGAAAATCCAAATCTGAGTCAAAACAAAGGCAAGAAGGATTGAGTGATTGTGGGTTTTCTTTGCAGAAACTTGGAGAATTTTGGAGAGTTTTCAAAACAATCCCTGGTAAACAATTATGTAACGCTAATTAAAAATACTAAATTAATTATTCAGCGTTATTTTCACAATAGTTGGCATGCAGAATCAGCCAGTCAGAGTCAATGTTTCTGGTTCCCCACCTTCTCCTCAGCATCAGTGTTCTCATCCACGGTGCTCAGGGCGTTCTGTACCCTGGCCAGCCGAGCAGACAGGCACAGCAGCAGACTGACCACCCGCTCCAGGTCACCTATGAACAGGTTGTACCTCTCCAGTTCCACAGGGAGACAACGCTCACGGACCAGCACCTGTAGCGCTTCCCCGCGGGCTGTGTTCTCCTGAACCTCTACCTGGAGGGCTCCACGCGTCTCTTCATACGAGCGCAGGCGGTCCTCGATGTACGAAGCCAACAAACGCTGAAAGGAACAAAGAGAAGAGTTTGAGACGCTTTAGATAAATGAGATGTGGTGAAAAAAGGATGGATATAAACCAGTTAAAAATATGTTTTTTTACATTTGCTGCCGTGGAACCATACCACTGTACTAGCAGTGAGTGTGCATGGCAGCAAGAAACAGGGGGGAGTTACTTGCTAAGCCAAACATTAGACAAGAGGGAGACACTGATAAGAGGCAGACGGCATATCATGTGATAAGAGACAGAACTATTGCTGCTTGAATAGTCCACTTAAGGCCAAATAGCTTACAGATGGTATCAATATGAAATCACCAGAGGCTCTGGTTTAAAAATTAAAACTGAATGAGGCCACAGTTCAAACTGTTCACATAAAAGCAGTGCTCATTCTGTCTGGCTTTCACTCATTTAACAAAGCAGTGATTTGAGACATACAGAGTATTTTTACCCATAAAGCAGACAGACCTTTGGTCTCATAGGGATGTCTTGAATGTTTTTCAACTAATGAATTATTTCTTCTTACTTGTCGTGAGGAATTTTAATGTTGAAAAAACGATTAAGCTATACTTGCTCTGTAATGCACGCTGAACTAAACTACTCACTATTTGCATAAAATGATGATTACCTTCTTCTCTGTGATGTCAGTTTTGCTTTGCAGGTCTGCTGATTTCTCACTGTCGGGAGCAGGGGGACAGGGAGAGGCTTCCGACCCTTCCACTGTTTCAGCACTGCAATGAAATTTGGTTATGTTAAAACAACTTGATTCCTGCTGTCACAATATAGACATGCTCAAATGACATGTTTGTTTCAGGCAGGCCACATTTTAACAGCAACACAGAGTTAACTGAGCAAAGTCCAAATGTTTTCTGCATATTTAAATACTCTGAAATGCATCTGCACATTCTCTTTGTATCTGAAGTGTGCTTACATTAGCAGAAATAGAAGTGCAGGCACAGCAGTAAGCAAATATACAGGTGTGTCCGTGCATGAGATGTTACACAAGATAACAGAAGCACCAGTGGAGCTCAGTTCGTTAGCCAGTTTAAACTAGTGTCAAATTTCATGGAAACCCATCAAACTAGAAATCCTAATTACCTGAGTGCTGCACACCATTGGAAACTCTAGCTTGGCTGTTATTATCCATTCTTTACGTTAACTACTTCTTCAGGAGTGAAGAAGACCTCCAGCACAATTTCTATTTTCCACGAGTGTAAACTGAAAAATAGTCATTCCATCTGCTTTGTTTACCTGAAGTGTTTTCTTCTGGCACATGAACATTTACCTTTCTGCTGCTCCATTCTGCTCTTGTTTCTTCTTGTAGTGCTCCTCCATGAGCAGTGTGTCCTCCGACAGCAGCTGCTCCATCAGCATGAGCGCTGTCTTACGATTGGTCAGTGGGTAGAGCACTCTAGCTAACGTCTGGTCGGCTCCGACAACTGCTTCTACAAGCTCCTCCCACTTAGGTCTCTCAGCAGGTGTCTCCTGGCCCTCCGTCTCTCCCTCTGGTGTTCCCCTTTCCTCCATCTCCTGGTTTTCTCCCACATTCTCATCTTCCATTACCAGATCTTTCTCCTCATCCACCTGATGACTGATGTCTTCGTCGGAGACCGACGTGCAGGGAGACACAGAGGTTTCACTCATCTGCTTTAGAGGGACTGCACTAGTGGAGTCAAAAACACTGTCAGTCAGAGGTGTAGTCTTGACTTCCTCTTTGACCTCTTCTTCTGGTGACAGAATCCAGAGCAAAGGATCTGTGGTGACGCCACAGCTCAGAGACACCTCATGGTTTGAATCAGGTGGCTGGCCATTACTGCTTGGTTCATTCACCGACTGCTCCCTCTCTGATTCAGTCACAGAAGATGTGCTGCCTCTGCTGGAAGTCAAAAAAAATCATGATAAAGATTTACACCTGATGAAATTTGCAAAATCTTTTTTTGATGTAATGTTTCCTGTTACTGATTAATTCAAATGAGGAAGAAACTGGTATGGCACATTTTAACATGGGGTCTAATCTTACCTGGATCTGTTTTCAAAAGGAAGCTTTGTCTGAGTGGGGGTGGACACAGTGGATTTAATCTCCCTCTCAGTGATCTCTTCACCTCCAGGGGACGGTGGGTTTGAGGAAGTCTCACTAGGCGATCTGCTAGACCTGCATTCATCTGTGACAGGGCCATGAGATCCAGGACTCACAGGATGAACCTTGGCCTGAGAAGGGGAAGAGGAGGAGATAGGGGAGATTGATCCACTTGAGTTCCTTGATCTGACTGTAGCATCCTCCTTTGAGTTGTCCTTCAACAGGGCTTTCCTCTGGGTTTGGTTTTGTGACTGTCCCTGAGTGTGCTTCTGACCAACAATCTCTGGCTCTTTTCCTGTTTTCTCCAAAACACTTAGTTTCTTCCTCCTTCTTTCCTGCCCCTGGGCTTCTCTTTCATCAGAAAAGTCTGGTCGTCCCATCTCACTCGAATACCTCCGCAGATGATCCAGCTGTTCAGAACTTTTACTCAGGGCTGACACCTTTGTCACCTGGGATACCCCAAGCTCTTCCATGGATTTTCCCCTCTGTGACGGTACACGGACCTGGTGATGGTCCACAGGAGCTGACTTTCTCGAGGATTCCTTAATGGCAATCTTCTCAGAACTAAAATAAGAACAGAATCAGACATAAAGATTCATGGCAACTGTAAGTTACTTTGGAGCAGAAACCCTTGCAATGACGTGTACCCCGCAGGGGCCAACACAAAGAGAGAAGAGCAACCATTCACACCTAAAGTAATTTTGAATCACCAATTAACCTAACCCTACCAGCTGCAGTACCCAAAGAGAACCCACGCAGACATGGGGATGTCTGATTCGAACCTCTCGCAAAAGTCCTAGCCACTGTGCCACTATTTTACCTGAACATGAATCATTTCTAGAAAATAAAAATATCAATGTTCAAAACAGGAGACTCAAAGTCGAAATCAACATAATTTCAAGAAGTAGGCTAACTCATTGAAACTGGTTCAGTCCATTACTCTTCTTTTACGGTCCATGTGTAAATCTTTTGAAAGGAATGTCGGTTTGCTGGAGGAAGTTGGTGTTGACTTTCCAGCACCACAATGAAACAAGTTGAACTTTATAGTCTGTACCACAGTGCACACATCACTGACCTAATACTTCTCTGACCTAAAACCCAATAAAAGTGTCCCAAATTATCTGCAGCACTGGTACATACCTGCTGGTCTCCATAGTATTAGCTGGTAGTAGATCCTCCTCATATTCATTTGCCTGCAGACCCAAAAAAAGAACAAAAACACTGAATTTAATTTGTACTGGTGTCAGAAATTACTACACTGCCAAGTGAACATGACCTGAAATATTTCGCTTTTATTTTAATTTTGTATTATTTACGTTGCTGCTTTTTAAATGCAATACAGACTCTAAATTAATTAACTATATCTGTGAAAGGAAATCTACAGGTGACTTTAGTAAGGAATGTCATATTAAGGATACATCTAAGGGCTTTTTAATGATATTGCCACTAATTTGGCCTACTTTACCTCAAGTGTGTGCGGTGTGGATGTGGAACGGTTCCTAAGGAAACTGGGTGGTTCTGGCTGGTCCAAGAGACTCTCCGCTGATGCAGACTTTCCCTGAGAAGGACCTTGGCTCTCTCTCCATCTGGACTGATTTTGCTGGCCACTATATTGGCCTGAACAGGACTGTGCTGAGAAGAACTGTGCATACCTGTTTTGTGAAAATTAAACAGAATACTTTAAATGCTTGATTTATCCACACTACACACTACAAAGGCAGAACCAAAAGAAGCTTCTCAGCTGTACCTGATCGAGCTGGTGGAGGAATCGAGGATTCGGCCTGCAGAGTGGGGTCTGTTAAGCTTCTTCTTTGTATTTTTAGCTTCATAATTCCCCCATAGAGACCTGGGACCTGGCCAGTCAAATGGTTTCTCCCCAAGAGAGTGCCTCTGTCTGGGTGGAGGTGGTATCTGAGACGTTGGTTGCTGGGGTTCGGTCGCTTTATGGCCCGTCTTACGCTCCATGTAATCCACCAGAGCCTGATGTCGCAGATGTTTTAGGTTTGTCTTCGAGGTGCTCGAGGTTGAAAGAGCTCGACCTCTTGTCTCAAACATCTTCCTCCGTGCTTCAACCAATCCCTGCTCTTCTTGCGGCACCTGCTCCTCTCCCTCATTTTGATCCAAAAACAGGTCGTCACTTTCATTGCCAAATGAACGGCAGGCTGAGTGGTGTGGGCCACCGCCGAGGTGGTTGAGTTTCTCTGGCTCCGAGTAAGACATCTTCTTCTGCTCAGGAGTCAGTCTCTTTCTGCTTCCAATTCGTGCCACCTGTGGCTGGGCAACATTTGTTGGCCTCCCACTTTCATTTTCATGCTTTTTGCCAATCTCCATGTGATCGCTGATGTCTTCTTCTTTTATGCTCCCCTTCTCCATCCCTTCTGAAGTGACAGAAGGAGTAAGCGTGTCGCTAGAAGTCTCTGAGTCCTGTGATGAAGAGAAACGATGAATCACTCCAGGTCTCAGCTCTGGCTTTTCCCTGATCCGGTGTGGCCACGACAGCTGCAGGTCCCTCCTTTTAAATGACGTCTCCCTCAGAACTTTTGACTGAGCATCCTTCAGCTTCTCTTTGTAGTACTTTTTAAATGAGTCATCCAAGGTGTTACAGGCAACTGAAATATCATCACCTCTATTATTCTTGCTAATATCACCCTGTGGAGGTGTCTCACTGTCATTTACTGGCACATCACCTTGGCCTGTTTTGTTTAAGACTGTTTCCTTGCCTTTTACACTGATCCCAGGCTCATTCTTGGGCTGTAATGCTGCTCTGCTGGCACCAGTGAGGTGGTACAGAAGCGGGGTTGTTTCCTTGTTTATCCTCTCACTTGCAACATCCCCTAAGGGCTGCCATTTCCCTCTCTTTGCATGATCGTCTCTCTTGTGGTGGTTGGACTGCTCATTGCTAATCAGTGATGTATCCTCCATTGTTGGTGAGGCTGATTGTGAGCAGCTTCTTTCGGGACCACAATAAAATATAGGGTTGCTGGCAGTGTGCCGGCCAATTTCTCGATTCTGCACTGTGTCGATTTCTTCTAAGGCATCGAAGCTTCGTGAGGACTGCGTCAGCTTAAAGGACGGTTTAAGTTGCTCCCGACTCTCAGAGATCATATCTTTTCCTGGGGTAACAGAAGTGAAAACATCATTTTCATCTAGAATTGTACCACTGAAAGAGCGAGAAGTCTCTTGGAGAGGTCTAAACAAATTGTCCATTGTGCTGTGGCATCTTTCTCTTAGCTTGTGCGTCTCCAACACAGTAGAGACTTCACTTCCAGCCTCAGAACCACAAACAGAAAGAGAGTGTGTCTTCAAACCAGACTCAGACAGCTTACACACTCCAGTGACAAAGTAGTATTGACCCTTGTGCTGAATGCTGCTGCCGCTGATAAGACTCTGATCATTACTCCCCCAGGGGTTGGCAGCTCGGGCTGGCTCTGAACCAAGCCAGTCGTAAGCAGAATGTGCCCTTTTGCGCTGACTTTCAAGATGGCGCTTACTAGCTTTGCTATAATGGTCTCCATTACATCCACCAGTGCTCGGGGGCTTTTTGGCTGGCAGGTGGTCAGGCTGACTTGTGCCTCGAGGAATAGATCGGCTTAGATTGTTTGCTGACTTCTGCTGCTCAGAGGCAGCTTTGTTCTCTTTGATGGATAGGTATTCTGGGTTCAGAGGCAGCCTGGTCTGATCATTAGGCTGGAAGTGGGGTCGGTAGTTTGGTGGCACCTGTGCCTGTGGCTGCTGCTGTTGAGAGCCTCTCCAAACTGGGTATACTGGGTCAGAAGTGAAGTCCGAGTTGCTTGTATCAGCATTAGCTGTCTCAGGTTTTGTGGCATTTAGATCATGGTGCTGCCGAACTTGGGGTCTGGCCTTCTGATAAGGCTGCTGGAGCTGAAATTCAGCATTATTATGATGGATGTTTTCAAAGTTTTTAGTAGCTATAAAACTATCCAGGCGTGCTGGAACTGGAGGAGGACGGACAGGAGGGACAGCACTTTGGGCTGAATTCCCCAAATGCATCTCTCTTTTTGAGAGTGCTTTGTTGTTGGTATGGACACTGTTACTGCCATTGTAGTTAAGGTGGTTTACATTAGTGTTAGTTTTGTTGCGGTACTCCTGGGTGATAGATTCAACTGAGCGATAGAGCTGGTCCATGGTCTTTGAGTCAGACTGCAGAACCTGGGTCGGATGGTAAATGGACTTTATATACTTAAGATCAGCATAGTGGCTGAAGGAGTTTGGCTGAAGGTCCTCTGGAAGAAAGGGAGATGGATAGTCTGGGGCAGTGGAACCACCAGAGAAGGAGCTATAGGCAGAGTCTCCTTTGCCGTGTTGGTGGTGTGCAAGTTGGTCGACGATGCTACTGCTGGACTTGGCTGGGGAAAGCCGGCTGACAGGCATGCTCAGAGGATGCAGATCCACGTTGCTCATTCTCTCAAAGTGGAAGTTGTAGGAATCCATGGAGGACTGGGGCGAATGGCAGGAAGGGAAGGGCAGAATCTGTAGATATGGTGTACGTGTATGAGCGCTGATGCATGTGTCTTCCTTGTGGTTGAAACTGGGAAAATTACCACAAACACATCTGCACCAGGTTGTCCGTCACATTGGTTACTATTTAGGTCATTTTCCTGCCTTCTTTTTCTGCAGTCAGAGCCCCATGAAACAGTCTGCTCCTGGGGAAGAAAACACAAACACAGCACAGGCCTGAAAACTCAACTTAGGCTTAATTTTTCAGGACAAACATGGTACAAATGACTTTGTTCATGTTGTTCACATTAGGCTTACAGGCAAATAACATTAATATTTTTTTCTTATTAATGCATGTGAGATAGTATTTTGTAATCAAAAGCAAAATAAAACAGTATCAATCAAATAGGTTTAGATAGTTAAAGTACAGTCCCTTTAACACAATTACACCTTTGTCTGCCTCAACATGTACTCAAAATTAATACTATTATGTGAGCAAGACAAGTTTCATGCCATTTTTTTTGTTTTAGGGTTCTTACAGTTCACGCCAGCTTGGTTTTGTGGGTCAGTGCAGTTAACCACCTGTTGAAGGGGTCTGCCGTTTTGCATCAATAAGACCTCTAATTAAGTTCCCTGAGACTAGCAGAGCACGTTGCAGCACACTCATGAAAAAATGTCAGGAATTTCATATAGAAGAACAGAAGCACCTGAGGATTAGTCATGTGACAGGTGTATAATGCATTGTTATACACAAGTGGCTCATAAAAACATTTGTTTTCCTCTTATTCACTGCACACCGCAGTATTTGATCTATGTATTTGTTTTGTCAAATGACTGTCTAAAATATGATATGTTAAGAGCAACATAATAATCAATGATCAATGCACTATTTAATTATGAAAAAAGATCACTATCCTCTGCTTCAATGTAAATCTAAATGTTTCAGAAGCAATATCTGCAAATATGTAAAATTTTCAGATTTTATCAAGTTCACCACCTGACCCCGTGACTGGAAGATGCTTTGCACCGCTAGTGTCACACCATTTCAAATGACACTTTTTATCTGCAACATTATGGAAACCTTATGGAACATTATGGAAACCTTTAGAGTGGAGCAATTGCTCCACTCTAAAGGTAACTGTTCTGACATGTATATACAATATACTATTTAATGTTGAGGCCACGTGCCTATGTGAGTGATGTGCTGCTAACAAACAGATTCTGCCAGTTTCCTGTTTGATCAGGAACTGAATAGAAACAATCAAATTTAGATTTTATATACTTATTTACTGCATTTTAAGTTCTGCAGTGGATATTTGTTCATATAGTCACTGCAGTTCATTCTCATACAAAAACCAGCTCTCGCAAGTGACTGCGGCGTTTGAGCGTTACAGTCGACTCTCCCATGACCTGCATGCATTTCTTTCACTATGTCATCAAAGTTTATAGTCACACACCTGTCATGCATACACAAAAGCAAATGCTACTAATATAACAGAGTCAAGCCAACCAGCCCAGTTTTAGGGCTCACCAGCGACCAGATTTTGCTTAACTGATTTTGTTTCCTGTGTAATCGGGAATTATTTCATTCACAAACCACAATGATGACTTGAAATTCCTTACAGTCGCTTTCAAAATTTATTTTTTTCCCAGTGTTTCCAGGTTTTTTGCCTGGTATTAAAAAAACTGCATTACAGATAATCCGAGGTGGCCGTTTTGCATATACACAAAACCCACCTCCCAGGAGCCATTCACAGCTAAACTACAGTATTAAGGGGGGTATCCCATGTGTTTATGAAGGGCCTTCTGATCTGTAGTGTGTTACTCTGCGTGTGCCTTTGTGTGTGTGTGTGTTTTCTAGCCATCCTATTTCCACTGTGAACAGAGAGAGGCTCCCAAACAGGGGAGCGCTGAAGTGGAAGTGATGGAGGGGACAGGCAGTGACAAAATGTACAGAGGGGAGAGAAGGAGGGAGGGTAAGGCAGAGGGTGACCGGCCCAGACAAATACTCTCACACGCAAACCACAACAACAAGAGACAAGAGAAGTGAACAATGACAACAGGAAAGCTGAACACAAGTTAGAAAAACAGACCAAGTGTCACAGTAGCAAAACGGAGAGGGAACTAATCTGGAGCTCTACTGTGTTCAGATTGGATTGAAAATGTATAAACTTTAGGGAACACCATCAGAAAGAAAGGAAAAAGAAAAACTCACCAGAAGTCTGAGTCAAAGTCACTGCCCTTCCTGATTTCCATCTGAAAAAGAGAGTGTTTCCTAAGTTTAATCTGAAATAAAGATCTGCCAATTGATTTCCATGCTTGTTTCTAATTCAGAACATTGTTCGGCTTCTAAAGAGGGACCAGACCAAGTAACCAGGAGAGCCAGATATTAGAGAGAAGACTTCTAGCGGGTTCCTTCTCCCCCCACTGAGACCCGAGGCTGCCTAGCGGGGACCACTGATTGGCTAGCCGATGACGTCCGGCTCTCCGATGCACAATGAGCGCAGCGGAGGGAATATTTCACTGCTGCAGATAGCTGCTAGTGCTGCCGGCCGCCTAAACAACAGAGAGCGAGAGAGGGGAGGAAAAAAAAAGAGGCCTCGCATTCCTGGCTGGCTTCAAAGACGGAGCACAGCCCGGGCGGCATTCATTCCCAAGGCCCTGAGCCCGGCACATGGAGACTAGCCAAGGCAGGAGGGAGGGGATAATGGTGGTGGGTCGGGTGGGTGTATGGGTGACCTCCCAGCCTCCACCCCAGAGGGAAAAAAAAAACCAGTCACAAAGAACAGCTATCCCCCACTTTCATCCTAATTTTCCTCTTTCCACAATTTCTACAAGTCTCCTCTGTATTTCTTAATAAACTCATAAACTGGGCATCACACAAACAAAAGTATCACACAGCAGTACTGCAGTATTTGTGTTGGTTTGAGATAAGTGGCCTCTTTTTAAACCTACAAATGTAAAGCATGTTCACCATGTCAATAATACACTTTGAATTAACAGGTTAGTTTTATTAAACCCTAAATGGGCACAAAAGGCACAATATTAAAAGAAGACTTAAACACGACACTGATCAGTCAGTCACACGAGTCAACAATAACCTCATCTTTCAAAACTCCTGCGTGATTGTGTAGTGTTGTACAAAGAGCCTTGTTGCTTTCACTGTTGTTTTCTATTGAGGCTGGCACCACTAGTGCTCCGCTATGCGGGATCTTTGTTACTGTCAGCCACATCCACGATGTTCTAGTGATTTCACTGCTGGCTGACTCCACCTGTTGTAAATGTACTCTAACTTTTGTTTATGATCATGCTGAGAGAAGGAAAGAAACATTAGCATGTAAAACTGTAGCATTATCACTGAGAAAATTGACTATAATAACACTTAAAAAAACAAACAGGCAAGCAAAGTTGGCTTCAAGTATGTTGAATGGTCAATTGTTGAGCTAGATTTGAGCTTAAAGCAATTTCCACACGTGATTACAAAAGAAATCCATGAGAGGGGTTGACCTTAAATATTGAGGTTACGCATAAACAAGGATAAGCTCATGACCACTTTCTGCCTGGCAACTGAGCTAAGGACTATATCATGGCAGATGGAGGGGAGAGTAAAAAAATTAAGAACTGCAGGCTATTCAAAAAGCAGATTTTTTTTATGTTTAAAAGAAATGGTCACAGGAGGAGCTTGTTTTTAATTTGTTAGGAAGACGGGATTCATAAAACCAACAAATGAGAGGAAGAGAGGTTAGGCTGATCTAGAGAGGGAGGAATGAAGTATGGGAGGGGGGTGTTAAATTCTTTCTTTTTTTAATGTCTTTTATTGGTGATTACGTGTTCCAGCGTGACCTTCACCATGAAGCCACGAGACTGGACCACCAAGTCTCTGAGAAACAGATATGACTCTCAGAAGGCAGAAATAGAAAAAGAGAGGATGCCAAGAAGATCAAAAGAAAGAAAGACAAATATGCAGGGAGAAACTATTAAAACGGTTAATCCTGCTGGCCCTGCTACATCTTCTGAGAAAAATGACAACAGGTTGGTTGATGGACACCCTCCCAGACAGACCGCAACAAATGCTTCTGTTATGAGCCCACAAACTATTGTTGGTACTGTTGCTCTTAATTAGAATACTGAATAAGTGTTTTTCCAGCACCATGTCACTGCAGCTGTATCATTTTTCCAGAAGGCAAGCATTTTCTGCTACAGTCCTCAAAGCAGAGTAATGACGTGTGTCTGCATAGTTTTTAACTTTGAAAAAGGACTTAGTTTACCCAGAATCCACCGCAAATTAGTCCTATTTAACACTGTCATGAACTTAACAGCTTTCTATAACAGATATGGCTCATAGCTAAGCCATATTCAAAAGGTTTATCTTGGTAAAGTCAACAAAACCTCTGAACCTTTGTAGACACGTCAAGATTTCTGTTGACCCTCCTGGTGGTGGGCCCCACTTTAGAAGTGCTCTTTAAATGACTGTAAAAGCGCCAGTATGCCTGCCACATTGGCTGTTTCTCTCACCACCACTAAAACATCACACAGTCACTTTTATATATGCCTGCAGTTAACACGCAGGAAGTCACTGCAGTATTCTCCTGAACGATAAGCATCTAATTATTTTGCAAATTACAAAATTACAAAAATAAGTCCAGGCGGCTTGTATGATACTTGGGTGATAAAGGACTACGGAAAGCGATTTTCCTGCTCTGCTGTCTTGCTGTTGGTGAAAAAGATTTTTCCATCACAAACAGTAAATCATTACATCTTATTATTATCATCATTTTTTTTTCTTCTGACTTTGGTGATTATACTAATTACACATTTGTGATCCTTTTGACAAAAACAAAAAGAAAGGCACACCAGATTGGCAGTTTGAAAACCAATCCTGGGCTGTATGTGGACACTACTGCCCACAACTCCCACTGTGTTTGGATATATATCAGCTGCAGCACTGAGCGGAGCCTTCCTGCAGAGCAGAACATTCACTCCGTCTGAGAAAAGTTCAACCACAGCAAATAGAAATGACAGATATTTAAGTTGATGAGAAGCAGACCAAGACTCACAGAGCAAAGCTTTGACTCAATGTGCAAAATTAGAAGCCAAAGAACTTTTTGGCTCATGAAGGCCTTCATCAAGCCTACGAGCCGTGATATTCTTCACTTACTCTCAGTGAAATAGAAACATAGTGCTTTAACCTACATTCCCTTTCACTGAAATCCACAAAACCTAACTACCAGGGAGGCAAAAGAGACTCAACACAAGCTCAAATTAAAATAAAAGTTAGAAACATGACTTCACTTCTGGACAAGAGCCTCCCAGAGGACCAACAGGGCATCATTCTATTGTCCTCAATCAAACAGAAGCAGGGAGGAAGCCGTATTTGAAAAGGTGGAAGTGGATGTATGTTGAGCTCTGACAGAGCAAAGCGGCTGGTTGCGGGAAAAGGAAAGGGGCTTGCCATGCAGTGTTATCATTAGCACCAGCAGTGTACTTCTTTGTGTATGCGTGTGTCAGACACACATATGTATGAACCACAATGATTAAACAGTGAGAGCTGCGGAGAGAAACTGTGAAACTGTTGCTGGGCAGTGCTCACATCAGTGGCTAAAATCTCTAGCTGACCAAGACAAGCTGTCACACTCTAATAAGCTCTGCATTCCTGCCCTGATCTGGCCTAAATACTTGACAATATCAACACTGAGTCCACTTCATGTTGTTGTTGTTGTTTTAACAAAAAGAAAGTATAGAAAAAAAGAAAGCAATATGTTTGCAACGCCAAACACTGAATGCATGTTTGTGCAACTATGACACTCCTTTTGTGTTTGCATAGATGCAAATTACTAACATCCCTTTAGTTTAGCTGTGCTTACGTAAACGCCAAAGATGAGACACAGAAAACCCAACAAGGGCAATAAGCGTATATTAATAACATGCACCAAAGTTATTTTGTATCCTTCCTGGTCAATGATTAACCAGGAACTGCATCGTGCCTCGCAGCACTTGGCTCAAAAATGAGTACAGGCCTCTAAGAATGATAAACTATTCTCAACTGGCCTCTGAGAAGACAATTACTTTTGTATTTAAGACCCCCCAGGGCTTTGCAATGTGATCTAGTCATGGTCAGTTTAACTGGATACTGTAGGAATTCCACTGCACTAGAATAGTAAGAGCCTACAGACTATTGGGTTTTACTTGTGTGAAGGCGAGTCTGCATGGAGCCTCAGTCTAAAAATGGGCCGTGCAAATTCATAATTTCGGCTCCATATCCTTTTCAGTCTTTGGTATGTGTAATAAAATCTGAGAACATACTGACCTAGGTCAAAATCCAGATGTAAAAAGATAGTAAACAGCCAATTACAAATATATCTCAATAAACTAAATGTTGGCCTGTGGCCTGATAAGATAATCTGATCATTTAGATACAGACTTTATTAGGTGTCCTATGCTACTACCAGGTCGGACCACCTTTTTTCTTCAGAATCTCCTTAAGTCTTTATGACACTGATTCAAAAAGGTGGCAGAAACATTCTGCAGAGATTTTACTCCATATTGATATGACAACATCACACAGTTGCTCCAGATGTGTCAACTGCACATCCATGAATCCAATTTCCACTGTAAAGGTGTTCAATTGGATTGAGATCTGGTGACTGTTAAAAACCATTTCAGTACAGTGACCTCATTGTCATGTTCAAGAAAGCAGTTTGAGATTATCTGAGTTGACATGACACATTAACCTCCCAGAAGCAGCCATCAGAAGATGTGTGCATTATGCTAATGAAGGGACAGACATGGTCAGCAACAATACTCAATGTAGGTTGTGGTGTTTAAAAAAACGCTTGTGTGGCACGGACATATCCCCCACACTATTACACCACCATCACCAGCCTGAACCACCGATACAAGGCAGGATGCTTTTAGCATGCTTTCATGTTGTTGCTGAATAACAATTATGACCCTACCTTCATCACAGTTAAGCAGACGACAATCTTTGTTTGGGCATGCCACTTTGAATATTTTGGAATTAATTTGTAGAATATTCAGAAGCTATTCAGAATATTCAGAAGACACCACTGCAGGGCAGCAGATAAAAAGTGATTGTAAATGCGTGATACCATCAACAACAAAGGAGCCATGGCGACAGCAAGTGAGAAAGAAGAGACTGGTCCCTACAGGAAGCTGAGACAAACACCACAAAAAAGCACAATAACAAATGACCCACTTCCTGGTTAGAGGTGGGGAAAGTCTCAATGACTCCTTCA